TCTGTGTACTTAATCACTAGGCTATATTGCCTCTTTAGTGACTAGTCAAGTTGTTAAATCTCTCTGAGCCTAACTTCCTTATTGTAGAATGGAAACAATACCTTCTTAATAAGCTTGTTATAGGCTTAACTGAGAACACATACGAAGTATAAAGTATGGCTGGTAGAGTGGCTGGCTCTGTCAGCGCTCAATGACTATTTCACTGTCAAGATTAAATGAGGTAAAATTTACCAAAATTATTTGTAAAACATAAAATATTTATAAGGTAGTAATAAGTGTGAGTTGTACAATAAGTACAACCATTTAAAAATGTAAAAACCATTCTTAGTTCATGGACTATTCACTGTGAGCCATAGTTTGCTGAGCTCTTCTCTAAATCCCATGACTTGACCACACTGTCTAAGTTTGCTTAAATTACAGAACAAGATGTAGTTCTTACACTTTATGATAAAAATATCCACAAGGCCCCCTGGAAGACATGGTCCCTGGATTCTCTGTTAGCCCAAAACTAAAACCATTCCCGAGGCCAACTCTTCAGACAAAGATTAGACTGGACTATGGGATATAAAAAGATACTCGTGAAGAGTGTGCTTCTTTCTTAGCTCAAGTAGATACAAAAGACTAAATGGGCAGCTCCTGTCTGGAGGCGAGATGAGAAGGCAGAGAGGGTCAGGAGCTGGTTGAATGGACACGGGAAATCTGGGGTGGAAAGGAGGAGTGTGTTGTCAGTATAGGGAGAGCAACTAGCGTCACATAACAATGTATGTATAAATTATTGTATGAGAGACTAACTTGAATTGTAAACTTTCACTTAAAGCCCGACAATAGAAAAAAAAAAAAAATCCACAGGGCAAAGCACAGAAAGGAGAGGTCTGGAGACACCATTACCACTATGCTGCCTTTGCTCAAGATAGAACAGGGTATTCCTGCTCATTATGTGTTACCTACACGTGAGAGTCCTGGCCAACTCCTCTGCCCTTCTAAGTATTGCTACTCTTCAAGAAGGGGCCAGCTCTCTAGTTCCAGAGACTCTGCTTCCATTGTCTCTTCTGTCACTGGAAGTTCCAATAGCAGCTATCTAAGAACTCTAAGAAAAGGAACAGATGATACAGTGTTCACTAGCTACAATTTTTAAGAAGGTAAGTTCTCTTGAATTTCCTTCAACAGCCTCTACCCTACCCCATCATTTATTCTCTTCTATCTCCTAGACCTGTCCTTAGTGCTCATAGGTTCCAAAATTGCCCCTCATTCTTTTCCTATCTCCATATAAAATTGATTCCTTTAGGTCTGGCAGGAAATTAATCCAATCAAACTATAGGAAAAAAAAAACCTAAGGATTCATAGATTGTGATTCAGTTTCAGCTACTGGTAAGTACTGTCTCTTCAAACACCTTTCACACATTATACACTGCTTTTTATATGTACTAAAAATGTAACTGTTTTGGTATAGTGTTATAAGCTTGGGACACTGGGGCTCAATCTACTCTGATCTGAATCCCAGCCCTGCCACTAATTAGTTGTGTGACTTGCCAGGTTTTTTTTTTACCTCCCTGAGCCTCGGTTTCTCTGAAATAAGGAAAAGGGAAGCAGAACACTTGTGGCCTCCCCGCTCCTAATGCCCACCCCTATCATGGGAGGAGACTAAGCATCATAAATCTGCCTTCTCTTCATCGCAACCACACTTTCTCCAATTGACCCCAGAAACGCTGAGTTACTAAGCAAAAGTAATAGTAATTACAGTAGTTTATGGAAACTACTTATCATTGAAGTCTTAATTACCATACAGCACAATAACAATTATGCAAGCCATTAAATGTGTCAGATTCACTTTGCTGCATGTTTTGTTTTTTTTAACACTAACACCTATTCACATAGGCTCAGTTTGTAGCTCACACAGCACGTGTGCCCATCACAATTAAAAGAACATTAGAGGGAACACTGCCTGGGGGGGGAATCAGGCACCTAAGGGAGACATTAAAATAGTAATTTGTTTTAAAGAGCTTCAAATGTAGTCACTTTTCTTGTCTCCCTTCTTATCACAGGACCAAAAGCTTGCAGAATGGGAGTGGACCGTTTCCTGTTTTCAGACTTGTTTGGAGAATCTTATTGGCTCAGTGTATCAGGCATAAGTAGAATGCTCTCAGCTGATGAATTAGCTTCCCTTGGTCAACTGCCCATCTCTTGTCCAGTGAGCTATGGCTGTGGAGGAATGGGGCTAGTTCATGTGATAAAGAATCTGACCACTTGTGTTTTGAGTCCTCTGAGAAGCAGACACCAAGATGGGATTAGAAGCGCTACAGTGTTTTAAATCTGATTTCAGAACTAGAAAACTTAAGATAGCCAAGATGGAAATCCTCAACAGAATCCCCTCGTGGGTACCACAACACTCCCAGGAATAAAAGCCAAAGTTGAGCTTAGTTTGGCTGCTGATTAGTAAATCAAACACGCAGTGTCTAACCTGAGTCAGCATCTTGTTGACTCCCATTAATTTGACACTTGATAATTAGGACTGTAATTTTCCAGTTGAAGGGACGAGGTAAATAAACTACCTAAGATTTATTTACTACTAGAGGTAGGGAAATGTGCTGCTAAAACTTCATATAAATGACCCATGGGTCAGGTAGCATTTTAAAGCCAAACACAGGCACTCTGCCTGGAAGCTCTCATAGCAAGCCCATCATTAGAATAACTGCCTTCTCTCCTAAAAAATTCATTCTTTCAGCTTGGGTTTGCAGCTTCAGGAAGCGAGCCTGTGGAGAGGTGAGAAGAAGAAGACACTCAGCCAGGAACACAGGCACCTCAAATTCAATATGCCAAGAAACGGAACTCATTATCTTTACCTCAAAGATGCTCCTCCACTGAATTCTCCATCTCAGTTAATGGCATCACAACCCAGCTAGCTGTCCAAGTCAGATTCCTGGCTGTCACTCTCTATCTCCCCACCTTGCCCCGTTTACTAAGATACTGAGTCCTTCTAATTCTACCTGCAAAATGTCTGAAGAATCCTTCCGCTTCCCTCTAGTTTCAGTGCCCTTGCAGAATTTATTTAAGTCATTCATTTATTCAAGAACCATCTACAAGTAGTCCCCGATTTATGATGGGGTTCCATTCCGACCATTCTGTCATAAGTCGGTTCTGATGTAAGTTGAATACTTTTTTTTAAGTTTTCATTATTATTGCCTTTTATTATCAGTATCTTTAAATCTTTGCCAGTGAGTGAACATCTGAGAATGCTAACATTAGCAAATTACACACTGCAGCATTGTATGTAGTACATATTACTAACGATAATATGTATTAAAAAAAAAAAAAGAATGGTTGTAAGTGTGGTTCATCGTAACTCAAATACGTCAAAAGTAGAGGACTACCTATGCTGGCTATCTATTACCACTCCTGCCCGGATTACTGAACAATCTCCTTGATTCTACATTGACTCCTTCTAATCAATTCTTCAGATTACAGCCAGAGTTAATTTAAAAAAAAAAAAAAAAAAGACTATGTCACTCCCCTGATTAAGACCCTGCATTGGCTGTTCATAATTATCAGGATAGTTAAAACTCCTTAGCAGGCCACATAAAGGCTTTCATGAGCTTCTCTTGATCTCATTCCTCAGCATTCCTCCTCCCTTCCACTTGTGTTCAGCCAACCAACTCTGAACATGTTGCTGTCAATGTCCAGATACCCCCTTTCTCTAAACTGTCATCTTCTCACCTCCAGAGAAAACTTACAGTACCGTAGGACCTACCTTAGGCATCAACATTCCCAAAAATCCTGGATTCGGTTCCCCCTTCTACGTACTCCACTGTTAATGTCTATCACAGCACTTATCACATCATAAAACGTAACTGCTTGTTAACCTGCTGTTTTCTTTCTTTACTTGGTTGTGAGTTCTTTGAGGTCAGGGATCCAGTCTTAGTAAACTTTAAACCCTTGGTTCCTAGCACAATGACTGTCACAGAGAAGACCTGGACAAATAGTTAATGAATTATTAACCTAAATGGCATCCTTTTGATAACAGGTACAGTAAGAACAACTAATAAATGTTAGTGCTTCATGGTTCAAAAAGTGATTCATAGCCATCATCTCTCATTAATTTTTGTAACAATCTTGTTAGATAGGTAGTACCATTAGCCACATTTTATATATAAAGAGACAAGAATTAGAACTGAGAATCTTCTACCAACCAACCACCTCTTTACTGAAGTATTTAGAAATGAGTGAGGTAATTCATTCTGCAACAGGACTTCAAATCACCCTCTAATTGGAAGTTGAATCTTTTAAGATAAAAGGGACAGAACAGTCTCTCTAACATGCCCCTTTAAAATGAATTTTAAAAAGAGAAAGTCTAATTTGAATTAATACATGTATTGCTTAAACTTTTCATATATTAAAAAAATCTCCATTTTTAACCATTGTATTTAACATCTCAAAAAGCCAATAAAAATTTATTATCTTTAGAAGCTACAGGGTTTATATGCCTATTAATACTATGAATAGCTTAAAGTCAGAAAGCTTACCTATTCTTGGAAAGGTTCATAACTATCCATCCTTAGAAATTCCTAATCATAACAAAATTCTGGGTTTTAAATACTTCTAATGTTCTTTGTAGACACAGTCACAAATGGGCAGCAGTATTACCTATTTCGTTAACCTGTGCCTAGGGGTATGATTTATTCTCCTTGATGTGCTGGCAAAGACCAAACTCAGTGCATAGCCAATTCCTCATAGGTCAATTTTCTTTTAGAGATTAATTCCCAAGCACTAGCATCAGCTAATGCTGATATTTCTACAGGGACATATCATAATTCTCATAGTTGATTACCACATTATTTAGTGAAAAAAAGGTAGCCGTCACCCCAACCTCTTCCATTCAATTAAGTATTATTTTTCCAACACAGGATTATTTAAAATATTTAGACAACTGTTTTAAGTTCATTTTTGAGATATATGTAGGTAATGAAAAAGAAAGGAAAAAAAAAAAAAAAAACCCAAATACTTACAACACATCCTTGAAGTCTCCAAACACATACATATGCCTAAAGCTGTCAATGGCTATTACGGGGCAATCTGCTGGCGTTTTCTGTATGTGCAGAAGAGGATGTCTAAATTTGTCACAGTCAGCATGTAAAAAGTTTATTGTACCTTTAAAAGAAATAGAATTTAGAAAGGTAGATCAAGTTTCTCGATTGTATGCTTAAGATTACAAGCTCACAAAAAATGACACACCGAAACAAACAAAAAGAAGTGTTTTAAGAGTAACATAGATCATAAAAACTAAAACCTAAATATTGCAACATTTAAAAGAGGTACGAATTTCATTCTTAGGGTTGAGGGAGTGAAACATGCATTTACTTAGAAATTATATGAACTCAATCTGAATTTTAATGCTACAGTGAATTTCTGATTTTCCTTAAACGGGCAATCACTTGCTCTGCAGATTACCCAGGTTCTAGGGAGCAAATTCCTGAAATTGACATATGAGTTGTTCTCATAGGACCATCTTCATTCCATCAAATACACCCTTCCAGTCTCTACTGACTAATTTTTAACCCAAAATATTTACTAAGTGACTAATAGGTGCATGGCTCTATACAATGTCGTTAGTTTTTTGTTTGACTTTCTTCCCTAAATACAGAGGGTAAACTGGTATAACTAAAATTCCTTTTTGATGCTTTGGAGAAGTCTGCAGGCAACTACGCCACTTTCTTTCATTTAGAAATAAATGTTTATCAGACTGTGTAAGCTTTCTCAGCAATATCTCTGGAAACATCTATTGGAAAAGGGGCAAGACAAGCATCAAGGCACTGGAACAAAGTGTCCAAAACTAATGTCCATCCATGACCTGTTATCATGCTACTTCATTTTTCTCCTTAAAACACTCATGATAAAAAAGATAGCCACCTCTCATATTACCTCCCTACTAATGCCCTCTCATGTTTGCACGTAAAGTCAGAGGTTGAGCAGAGTTAAAATAACTTGTTAAGTTTTTAACCCAAATATATTTATGTAGATATAATTGTAATGGGGAGAGGGAGGGAGGGAGGGCGGAATGGAGGAAGGGAGGAAGGAAAGAAGGAAGGAAATAAACACCTTAATCTGTCTACCTTTTTCACTTATTAATTGCCGGGCTACTTCATTCTGGAATATTTCTAAACTTTCTGTATCCTCTTTCATGTGGAAGAGTATGAGGAAAGGCAGTCCTTCTTCTGTCAATTCCTGTATAGAGAAGTATTCAACGAGAATTATCAGACCTCTCCATTTGGTTCTTGCTATTTTCTAGGTAGGAACAATTTTGAGGCCAACTCATATGACATGCAAAAATTACAACCTGGGAGAAAACGGCCAATGGTTTAAATAAACATAAGCCTTAATGAAAGAATGAACTCAGTCTCCCCACCACAAACTAGGCTCTCAGGGACCCACATGTCTTGCTCTGCTGCAGAAACTGATCTACCTTAAATACTGGTCTGCCTGCTAGCTAGGATTGGATAAAAGGCTTCAGAGGCAGCGACGGAGAGCTGACAGTTGAAGCCATGACATTTAAATAGTTAACCAAAAAATTAAAAATTTTAGGTTTGGGAAAACGTGATTAGTATTTTCAGTCTTTATAGATAACACTGAACAACTGAGTGTAGCACCAATTAAAAAAAAAATCACTAGCTGATTCTCAAATTTATGTTTACTCTAAAGTTTATTGTAAAAACCATTTGATTTACACGAGATTTACCCAAAGCCAAAAAGAATAAATGGCAAAAAATCTACAACATAGCCAGTTTTCAACCAGTAAACAATTTATTGACATTATTAAGAAGTACCTACACTCTGTGTGTATTTTTATACACTTTTGTATAAACACACACAAAGGTACCTTGAAAATTATAAAGTACTGTTTAATTTTTTATTATTGTTACTGGAGAATAATACAAGAGAAATGTGATGAGTAGACAGCAGATTTTAATTATTTATGCTTTCTGACAAATGGTTAATTTCTGACACAAAAGAAAAGTCCAGAAACAACCTCCTAAGAAAATTACTTCCATCAACTATCCTTTTCAGAGTCTCTTTATAACTTAAGAAATCTGCCTCAGCAGAGGTCCTTCATCCCAAAAACAAAACAACCAACTGAAGCTGGGACCTGTTTTATTGGATAAGGGTTTTCTTCTGGTTCCTTTCTCTACGTTTAAGCCTGTTTCACTTGTACACAGGATAAATTATTAAACTTCTTGTCATGTGTATCTTTTTTTAAAAATTGAGATACAGTTCATTTACCATTAAATTCATCCTTTTAAGGTGTACAATTCAGTGTTTTTAGTATATTCACAGGGTTGTGCAACCATTACCACTATCTAATTCCAGAACAGTTTCATCATTCCAAAATAAAGCCTCTGAAACTTGTTTCAGGACTGAAATACCTCTTCTAGGAAGTCTTCCCTGATCTCACCCCATGTCTGCCAAAGATGAAAATGAATTCTCCTTTAAACTCCCAGAACACCTTATCAGTGCCTTCATTTGGCATAGAAAACCGTCTTATGTTTTATTATGTTGTATGAAATAATGGAATGAAAACCCCTTGAAGACAGAGAATCTTATTTCACTTCTCTTTTGCTGATAAATTTTTTGTACACAATAATGTGCAAACAACGTATGACTGAACAAATGCACAAATATTGCTGAATAAATAATAACTGGGAAAGAAGACTCAGTAGTCACCTCTGAGAATGAGAAAGGAATACTTGACTGGAAATCAGAAGACCTGGCTTCTGGTTCTGCATTAATGTATGAGAATATTCTGGGCAAGTCACTATTCCTTTTTGGGACTCAATTTCTTCATCCTTCCCAGATGATGCAGAGACGGTATCACCTTCTCCTTTCCCTTGAAGGGACCCTACCATTTTCTTCCACAGTCTATTCACAGACATCTTTTAATGGAAAATGTTGCTAATATGTAAGCCATCACTCAAAAGTATTTATCAATTTGTGAGTTAAATAAATTAGTCATCTTGGGTCAACTCACATGTGTTCAATCCTAAGTATGACAGCATTTTTCCTCAAAGGATCTTAGCCTTCTCATTTTTAAAAGGAGAGGGCTATGCTCAAAAATTTAAGAGTTCTTCTAGTTCTAAATTCAAAATGGTCCTAACTGTAGGGGCATTTAAATTTCTCAAACTTAGAAAATAAAAAGTAAAAATAAATACAACGTATTACTTTGCTATACTCTATAAAAATATGAACTAACAACTATTAGGAGAAGAATCATAAACAGATTAGTACTTTGAAAAAATACGTATCAATTAGTCTGAAGTCTTATGTTAACATAATAAACCAAACCAAACCCACTGCCGTTGAGTCGATTACGACTCATAGCAAGCCTGTAAGGACAGAGCAGGATCATCCCATAGGGTTTCCAAGGCTGTAAACTTTACAGAAGCACACTGTCACATTTTTCTACTGCAGAACGGCTGTGGAGTTCGAACTGCCGACCTTTCAGTTAGCAGCCAAGTGCTTAACTACTGCGCCACCACGGCTCCTTATCTGTTATCACAGTAGCTGGTAATTTATGCTGCTTGTGTCTCCCAGTTGACCCATATCCACACCAGCATCTTCTTTAATGAGCAGGTATTAAAAGATTCAGGAGAAGAATAATGAGACAACCAGATGTGGAGGTTAAAACTCTTTCCCTGTATTTTAGATGAATGGTGGCGTAATGGTTAAGCATTTGGCTGCTAACCAAAAGGCTGAGGTTCAAATCCACCAGCTGCTCCTTGGAAACCCTACGGGGTAGTTCCACTTTGTCCTGTAGGGTTGCTGTGAGTCGGAACTGACTCGATGGCAACGGGTTTGGTTTGGTAATAAATCTCAAGCATTATTAAATGTGTCAGCTACCATGAGGGAGGAGGATCCCACCTGTTTAGTTGTTTAACATTTTCCAGGTATGTGCCTTTAAATCCTATTTTTCAAACTATCCTTCTAAGAACTGCCAAAAAAACCAAAAAACAAAAAACCCTGTTGCCGCTTAGCTGATTCTGACTGATAGCAACCCTATACGACCGAGTAGAACTGCCCCATGGGGTTTCCAAGGAGCAACTGGTGGATTTGAACTGCCAACCTTTTGGTTAGCGGTTAAGCTCTTAACCACTGTGCCACCAGGGCTCCAAGAACTGCCAAAGCAGGTGAATAATTCTAACAAGTTACTGTTTCTGAGCCTCTGAAGACCAAATGAGCTAATGAATAAAAAATGTAAGTAATTCTGCTAAACATATCTGAGGCCTAGAAAATTAAGAATCAAACATTTATTTGATATATTATGAACAGAAAACAGTACAACCCACCCCCATCTTTGAAATCAAGTACAAGATCAAGATGGAAAAGACTAAGAATGATGACTAATCAAGTATAAGGAAGTAAATATTTTTTTAAATCTTTGCTTTTGTAAAGTTTGATTTAAAGGATTTTTCAGCACTCTGTTTAACAATTATTTGTGTGTAACCAGTCTATTAATTTGTGCCAAGTTTAATTTTTTATTTTTAAGCCATATAAATGAATGCTTATAAAAAAGGGGAGGGAGCTTAACGTCCCAGTCTCTTCCAGGCTTCCTGCACTATAGTGCTATGGCATATCACTGACACCTTATGGTTAAACACTCAAATTGCAGGAGGAAGTGTTTTGAATTCTGTGAAATATAACTACTTTTCTCTAGAAGTCTACGTTACAGTGCTATTTATAACAGAAGAGAATAGCTGGAGATGAGACTAGACTATGTGTGATAGGACCAATCTGTATCTAGCATTAAAAAGAAAGGAAGAGAATAGAGAATGAGTCCATTGCACATATAACATTAGTATAGCTTCATGAAAAATTTGACATACAGACACATATACATTTATATAAAACAGGGGAATTTACTTTTTACTGTGCCTTGCAATAAAAAAATAGTTTGAAAGCAACTATTTGATCCAAATTTTTGGTTAATTCCTATATCTGAACTTCCAGTGTTTCACGGATGGTTGTTGTACTGACACATAGCTAGAAGTCTGAAAGATACTCATGTGAGCATCTACACTCAGGCTGCTCTTGCCTGCTCAATTATAATGGCTTAAGATGCAAGATGCATCTTAAAGAAAATAAGGAATTACTTAGACTCCTAAACAAAAGCAAATATCTACTTTGGAAAGCAAGTTCAAAAACAACACTAAAAAAACAGAAAAATACTTTATAGAATAGAATAGGCTCAAAATGCCAAGACGTCACATGAAAATAAAAATACTGCAATGCCACTTAGAAGTTCTAGAAAATTTGAGAGGAACAATGTAGAATCAAGGAACTTTAGAAAGAAAAGAAACTAGAAAACTTGGTAAAGTTCTGTTTTGGTTTTTTTTTTAAACCAAGAAAGAAACAAGCTGTGGTACAAATTTCACTCAATTGTCCTCCATGCTTCAGAATTCCAAAGTATTCTGAAATATGGAATTGTTATATAAAATTATAGCTAGTACAACATAGACTGACATATTTACAATATTTAAACTTTCAGGTTTAAACACAAATTAATCACATTGAGTGAGAAGCCATTTGTGGAGCCCCAACTGCCTTAAGAAACCGCTATTATAAATGACAAGCAGGATGTCCCAGTGGTATGCTGACATGTTAGATTGTTTGGATCCTCTTTTGGTGCAAACAAAGAGCCAATCCACAATGGCTTGGATTTGCAATGGTCTGCCCAAGCAAATAGATCTAGAAAATCTAATGCACACATTCATAAATTTGATCTGAAATCGCTACAAAGGCTTACAAGGATAAAATATTATTTTATGGTGGGAAAACTACACTGAAAATGTTCCATGCTGACATAAAACCACTAAATAACTGTGATTTTTCTTAATGTGCTAAAATGCAAGTGATAAAGTCACCTAAAAGAATCTTATAAAAAGTTTAAAATGCTGTTGGCACAGATTCCTGCTTCCAGAGGGATGGAGTAGATGCACTTTTCCCTATTCTACTTGAAGAGTACAGATTAAGATACTGGATTTTTTTATAAAACAAACTTTAAAGACTCTGAAAAGTGGATAGAGGAAGGCAGACCAACTAAGGACTTTTAGGACCTGAGAAACAACATGCCATCTGGTTTTCTTTTGGCCTTATATATCTTGGGCTGGGTGCTAAGGAAGCCTCCAGTTTGGAAACGTCAATAGGTTCAGACAAAAAAAAAAGACTCAAGACAAGCGTGCTCTCCAGCGACAAAGAGGACATTCTTGTTTGCCCACAATGGCCAACAGTCTCTAGAGCTAAATGTTGCTCTCTTTCCCCAGGATCTGGGGAGAGAGATACCAAGATTCAAGAGGTAGCAGACTCTGGGAATATTCAGGTAGAATTTCAGGGAATCTTGGGAAGTTTGCCTATATAGTCCCCAAATCTTAAGGCACTTATGCCCATACAGCTTGACAGCAAAGGAGATTAAATCTAAGATTATATTCCTTCTTAAGGAACTCCAGATGTTGCTGCAATGGTTTTGTTAGAACTTGGTTAAGCTACGTGCTAAACAAGTTGCATTCTAAAGTAATGGCAGGTGTACTTTAAGCCAATCCTACCACTAAGAAAATTAGAAAAGCTGAAGAAATATAAAAAACACCTCTTCAAAGGAATCCAAGAGTTCAAAAGGCAGGGAAGAATTACAGGCAAAGACTAGGGGAGAAGAAGAAAACTCAGAGCACTAAGTACTGCATTTGTGGCTGCTTTTCCTCTAGGGCCATAAACTTTTCCAGAAAAGGCCGCTGAGCAGAGATTTCTACAGATTCATCAAGCAAGAGAAAAAAAAAAAAACCCTGAAGTTCGGGGCCCATGAACGAGGGGAGGCTGTTAACCTCTGAAGACCCTCAATGCCAATTTTGGGTTGGTACCTCAAAAGCCACATCCTAGCAGTAAACCAGAAAGAGGGACTAAAGCCCAACCTCAAATCTTCTCAATTCCTGATCCAGGATTGCTAGTGACCCCAGCAGTCTGCCAGAGAGGAGAAAATCTTCATGACCCTAGGGCAGGGTTTCTCCACATCAGCACTAATGACATCTTGGGACAGGTAATTAATTCCTTGTTGTAGGAGGCTGTCCTATGTATTGTAGGATGTTTAGCAGTATCCCAGGCCGGTAGATGCCAGTAGCATGCCCCTCCCCGCTCAGCTGTGATAACTAAAAATGTTTCTAAACACTACCAAACGTTCTTTGGGGAGGAAAATGGTCCCTAGTTAAGAAGCACTGCCTCAGTACAGGGAAAACGTCTTTCTTAAATTGGATACAGAAGCATTAACCACAAATGAAAAGACTGATGAACTATAACATCTTAAGACATTACGTAAGATGAATAGAAAGGGAAAGGGAAAAAGCAAGTCAGAATGGGAGAAGATATTACCAACACACAGAGCTGACAAAGGGCTCTTTTCCAGAATATATTAAGAACTATTATAATCAATAAGGAAAAAACACACAATCCCAGTAGAAAAATGTGCAGACATGAACAAGTACTTCATAAAAGAGGATATCCAAATATCTAATAAACATATGAAAAATGTTTCAACCTCATTAGTCACCACAGAAATGCAAATTAAAACCACAATGAGACTCTATTACAGACACTAAAGTGGGTAAAAATTAAAATGGTTGATACTGTTAAGTGTTCGTAAGGATGTGAAGCAATATAATCTTTCATATACTACTGATGGGAATGTAAACTGGAACAATCACTTTGGAAAACTGTTTTGTATCAACTGCTAAAGTTGAATATATGTATGCTCTATGACTCAGCAATTCTACTCATAGGTATACACACCCAATAGAAATTTGTGCATATATTCACCAAGAGACATAAAAGAATGTTCATAGTAGCGTTATTCATATAGTAAAAAACTGGAAACAATCTAAATGTCCATTGACAGCAGAATGGATAAATCGTGGTATATTCACAAAACAGAATTGTATTCATAGTAAAAATGAACTGCAGCTTTGTGCAAAATGAATGAATCTCACAAGCATAAAGTTGACTGCAAGAAGCCTGACACAAAAGAGGATGATTCCATTTTAAGTTCAAAAACAGGCAAAACTATGGAGAGTTCTATTCAAAATCAGTATAGTGGTTATGAGGGTGGTAAATGGGGTAATGATTGGGAAGGACAAGGGTTTCTGGTGATATTCTGTTTCTTGACCTAGATCAGGAGTTGGCAAATTACAGCCTGTGGGTCAAATCTGGCCAGCTGCCTGATTTTGTATGACCGCAAGCTAAGAATGGTTTGTACGTTTGTTTTTAAATTGTTGAAAAATATTTTTAAAATAATAATATTTTATAACACCTGAAAATTAAATGTGTCCATAAATAAAGTTTTATTAAAGCACAGCTACCGTCATTTGTTTAAATATTACAGAAGGCTGCTTTTGCTCTACAACTGTAAAGCTGAGCAGTTGCAACACAGACTATATGAACTGCAAAGCCTAAAATATTTACTCTTCAGTCCTTTATGGAAAATATTTGCCAACTCCTGACTAGGCAGTTTACTTTGTGATAATTTTTTGAGCTGTACACTTAAAATTGTCTGAAGTGTATATGCATATAGGAAGTTTTAAAACTGCATTTAATATATTTAATAAGATGGTGTTTTTTTTCCCTTTAACTGCATTCCTAGACCATGGTTTTGAAAATGAAAGGGCTGAAGTCTGGCATCAATGAGATGAAAGCTATGTTTCAAATATAGTAAAGAAAGAACAGAAGTACCTCACAGACCTAGCCCCTTGTACTTGCCTCCTCCAATCTGTTAGGTTTCTGTGGGCATTTCAAGTGTTTAGGGGGGCTTTACTTCAGATGCATGGGATGACGGAGGCTCAGTTACGTGATCATTTGTAACTGGTTTCATTACTTTCAATAAAAAAGAGAACACAACTTCTTTCTTTTAGGATTGATGGAAATCAGAAAAATATTTTTGTGGCAAAAAGGCACTGCTTCTAAGACAAGGATCCTCAAGCAAGGATGGGTATCAGAATCACCTGAGAGGCATTTTCAAACTCATTTTCATGGCTATCGTGAACTGCTGTTATTACTTGAAGTGTGACAGTGGGTTCTGGGGCAGCAAAGATGAAGAACCATTGGCCTGTATTATGGAAATAGCTATGATAAAGTTATGTTCACTATATGGATTTTTACAGCTGGTAACCCATTAACCCGCTGCCATCAAGTCGATTCCGACTCATAGTGACCCTACAGGAAAGAGCAGAACTGCCTCACAAGGTTCCTAAAGAGTGGCTGGTGGATTCGAACTACCGACCTTTTGGTTCGCAGCCAAGCTCTTAACCACTATACCACCAGGGCTCCTTACAACTGATAAGTCTGTTAAAATAGATGGAAGGAGGAAGCTTGCTCTTTCAGAAATCTGAATTAAAAACAACAACACATATGAGACAGCCCATACCTCTCCATTTTCAAATGTTATTTCTCGGACAAGAGGAACACATTTATCTTGAATCCAACTGAAAGTCGCATCAAAATTTGTCATAGATCCCAAGTATACCATATCTGGAGCAGAAAGCTGTTACAAAAACAGAAACAAACAAAAAAATTAAACAAATCTAATCTGTGTTAGCAAAAAATGCATCCTTAAATCCATCTATGGACCCAGAAAATCTATAGAGGGCATAAAAGAAACATAAAACATGGAATTGCAGAACTTCTGAGAAAAAGGGCTGTAGCTAGCAAAAAAGCTAATAATTCTGTGATTATCAGGGACTTGATTATCCAACCTGTGATGTCTAAGCCTTCTGCTTCTCCTTGGATCTAGGTCAATTAATTGTTTATCAGTATTTTCATCAAGGGCAGGCAGGCAGAGTGAGAACTATTCAACTGAATTAACTGAGCTGTTCCTCAGAGTTGAAAATGTTAGAAGAAAATCTGGGAGACTTCTAGTGAAAAAGCTTGAGAAATACAAGATGCATATAAATCTAAGGCATATCTATCTTTATTATTAATTACCTATAACATCTGTTTCTATAATGACTCAAAACTGATATTTATTAAGTGTCTAAAATGATAATAAAAATAATAGCTAACACCCAGTACTTACCGGGTCCAAGCACTATTATCAGCACTTCACATGTGTTGACTCATTTATTCCTCACAACATCACTATGAGGCGGGTACTATTATTGTCACCATCCCTACTTTTACTACTGAAGAAACTGAAGCACAGAAAAGCCAAGAAATTTTTCCAGTTTCCAGAGTTATACACACCTAGGTCACAGATTTGACATTCAAACCCAGACAGTCTGATTCCAGAGCCAGTGCTCTTAAAGACCACAGTACATTATGAGACTCTGTAGTAGATTTCGATAATCTGGAGATTTTTGGCTGCTAACCAAAAGGTTGGCAGTTTGAACCCAGCCATCAGCTCCTCAGGAAAAAGACCTGGCAATCTGCCCCCATAAGGATTACAGCCTAAAAAACCCTATGGGGCAGTTCTACTCTGTCACATGGGGTCATTATGAGTCAAAACTCGACTCGACGTCACCTAACAACAAGAGATGACAATACTATGTAAGCTACTACTAAAGAAATGCACCGAATGTAACACAGGAAACAAGCTTCCTAAGCAAAAGACTGATCCATTTGATTACATAAAAATTAAAACTTCAGTGCATCAAAAACCTGTAAACAATATTAAAATGAAAACTATGAACTGAGAAATATCTATAGATTCCTATTTCTGGTGTATGAAAAAATGCAGCGACAGATCTCTAGGTCAATTCAGGATAACAAATATTGTAATTTTGCCTCTTAAGTTGTAGCTACCATAGTCTGGGACTAACCAGAGGCTTCTAAGTTTAAACACACTTAACTTCTTAGCCCAAGGGTTAAAAATCACCTACCTGCTCCTTAATACGTGGTATGTACTAGATAAATTTATATTCTGGAAGATTTGGGAGCTGGCCTAGTACAATACAGCTAGGAGTGTAAAAAAAATTTTTTTTTAATTTAGTCTCCAGATTGAATGCAAAACAGAGGGCTGGAAAAGGCCAGGGAGTCAAAGGATCTGTAATCTCACTCTGTCACTAACACTAACTGCCTCTGTGCCCCCGTCTTTATTTTTAAAGGTTTGGACTAGGCAACATGATGTCTTGAGGTTCTTTTCCATTCTAAAATTTAATGACTCTGCAAACATTAACATGTATAAAACTATAGATTTACTATACATTTACTTAAATTATATATAAAATTAACATACTAAGAAATAGCAACTTACCATTGGAGGTTTGTAGATTATGTTGTCTCCGCTAAATCTTTCTGGTTTTGAAACAGACCTAAAAGGAAGAGAGAAATAACAATACTTTTTAAGGAAAACAAAAGCAGTAACACACGTGGATGGATCAGATTTTTGTGGGGGGAAAAAAAAAATTTATTGTGCTTTAGGTGAAAAGTTTACAGAGCAAATTCGTTTCTTATTAAACAATACACAAATTGTTTTGTGACACTGGTTGTCAACCCCCAATGTGTCAACACTCTCCCCTTCTCCACCTTGAGTTCCCTGTTTCCATCATCCAGTTTTCCTGTCCCTTCCTGCCTTTTCGTCCTTGCTTTTGGGCTGGTGTGCCCATTTAGTCTCGTATACATGACTGAACAACGAAGCATATTCCTCACGTGTGTTATTGTTTGTCCTATAGACCCGTTTAATCTTTGGCTAAAGAGTGAACCTCGGGAGTGACTTCAGTATTGAGTTAAAGGGTGCCTGCGGTCTATACTCTTGGGGTTTCTCCAGTCTCTGTCAGACCAGCAATGAAGCAGATTTTTGGGTAGGTATTTTACAATGGATGAATTCTAAAGACTTGAAATACATACTTGTCCATCATCTTTCCCACTTATAAGACTATGCAATATCAAGAAAAGAACGTATTTAAAGAAAAAATTTTACACTAAACAGATTTTTTAAAGGAAATTTTAGTTGTTTTTGTAACTCAGTATAAGTTTGGATTGGCCATTTTTGCACTAAAAAGCTGTTTCTGACCCCCAGACTGTTTTCCAAGAAACTGGGCATCAGGGTCATTGAGCTGGTCACATAATAATACACACACACACATACACAAACACACACACACACACACACACACACACACACACACGTATGTATGTATAAACTAACCTACTGCCGTCCAGTCAAGTCCAACTCAGAGCGACCCTACAGGACAGAGAAGAACAGCCCCATAGGGTTTCCAAGGAGCGGCTGGTGGATTCGAACTGCCGACCTTTTGGTTAGCAGCCAATCTCTTAACCACTGTGCCACCAGAGCTCCACATATATATATCTATACACATATATGTTATTTACTTGCAAGACAGACTCAACCATGAATTTTTTACTTTTTAAAAGCAAAATTTATTTTAAAAAAATAGATGAACTGAAATAATCAACATCACTAGAATATAGTTCCATAAATAAGCAATTTTTTGTTTCAACCGTTGTTTCCTGTGGCTAGCACAGTATATGGCATATTAATATGTGTTCAGTAAGCATTTGGTGAGTGAATTCTACAACAAATTCTAAGTCACACAGGTTAACTTTCTCTCCAAATTATTTTTGGATTAATTGAATCTTAACTTATCTTCAGTTTCAGATTACAGTAGTGCAGGAGATAGCAGAAGGAGATGTCAACCTAGTTTGCTGACAAAAAGGAAGAATATGCTCCACTAATTAATTAATTAATTAACTCAAAAACTGTTCACTATGTGCTTCCTTTGTTCCAGGTATTAGTCTTGGCACTGGGTATACAGCAAAACAAAAGTGACAAAGCCCTTGCTCTAACGGAGCTTACGTTTTGGTAGAGAAAGACAGAGAAACTAGCACATATATTTACCTTGGTGGTAAAATGTGCTATAAAGAAAAATAAGTGGAATAAGGGGATAAAAAATGACAAGTGGGAAGTGTAGTACTAACTCATATAAGGTTATGAGGGAAGGCCTTTCTGTGAGATATCTGGAGAAGCCCTTCCAGACAGAGGGAACAGTAAGGCTCTGCTGCAGCAGTGTTGCTTGCAGGCTTTGCGGAATAGCAATGTGGCCGGCAGGGCTGGGAAGCAATAATGTGAAAAACATAGGGGGACATTTCTCCCATTACTTACTCTACACATTGACCTTCAAAAAACATCAATAATGTCTACAATGAAATACACACACACACACACACACCCCAAAATCCACAGAAGCATTAAAACAAGGATAAGTGTTAAAAGTCACAAAATGGAGAGGATCTACTCTAACGAAAAAAGGAGAAATCATACTGCATGAAGGATGGTTGAGATAACCTCCAAGGTTATCTTCTGTCAAGGACAGAACCACAGAATGATTTCATTTTAAGAGAGGAAGTAAAAATGGGAAGTAAGCAGAACCAGAGAAGTCAGAAAGGTAAGAAGCAAACCAGGCACAGTCCACGTAAAGCAAGCTTGGATACAGCAGAAAAAGCAAAGGGTAGTTGAGTGGCACATCCTTCAGAGAAACTGAAGAGGATTAAGACTAAGAAAAGGACACTGGATTTCATAATTAAGAAGTCATTTTGAAACTGTGCATTAGAAGTTTCGTTAGATGGATGAAGGTGAAAGCTTCTAAGAGGTTACGGTTTTTTACTGATTAGAATTTGAGAAAATCAAGGTAGTCAAGTTTAAACTAATCTTTGAAAAAAATCTGAAATGAAAAGAAAGGTATGAGATTATAGTTCAAAAGACAGAGGAGGAGGGACAGGAAATGGATGTTTTAGGACAAGAAAAGCAGTTCACGAAAAGGGTTGGCAGGGGCAACACATGGATCAAAGTCCTGGAGGAGTTTGATATCAGAGTTTGAGGGGACAGTTACAAGGACACAAGTGAAGGGGTTAGCCTTGGAAAGGAGAATTGTTGCTCTGAGGCAGGAAAGAAAAGGTGGTGGAGAGCTGGTGATGAACGAAAACAATAAAGCTCATGCTTCTTAATGAGAAAGAGAATGTGTCCTTTCAGTTGGTAACCTCACAGGTTAGCATTTAGCCTGCCATAGGGTTTAGTAAATGAGTTGTACGAAAGCATGAGTGAGTTAATTGCTAACTTGACCATTCTTTTCCTCTTATTCACATTCTAAAATAGTATATAATATAGAGACTTTTAAACCCTTAAAAAAAGGCCAGAGATGGGTAATAAATGCTGGTTAGTAACTTTTAGAGAAATGACATATCTTTCGAGAGGTCATCTTCAGAAAATGACCAAATATAACATGAATTTAGCATGGCTGCCAAGCTGACCTACTAACACTGTCTCAATGAAAACACTTACCCAAATGCAGAAAGGAAGGCACAATCATCGTGCAAAATACTTGCTACTCTTTCAAAAACTCTATACTTGTCTGAATCCTTTTGCTCAAAATATCCAATGATATTTATTTTGCTGCGCTGTAAAATAAAGTATGTAATTATTTTGCAAACACACATAGTTCTATAAACATGCTTTTTCATCTACCCCTTATTCTGGAACATAAGCAGCTTCAGCTGTTGTTCACCTATCCCCAAATGAAGTATGACTATAAATGCATATTTGGCTTTTAACACTTACTGGGAAAATATTAAAGATTACACCAGGTTGAAGACAATCTTAACTACAATCAAATATAATTATAAACATTTCCTTCTAGAATTTTATTTTAAAATATGAAGAAATAACTATTTAATCACTGACAGTCTTTTCCTAAATAAGGTGACTTGTGATGTGAGTAATAAAGACTTGTATCTCTGACCCAGGAGTCTTGTGTCTTCTGACAGCAACCATGAAACAATAGCCAGCTACCTAAAGAGCTTCTAAGTAGGGTAAAATCAAACCTCTGACCTAACAGTGACAATGTGGATAAACCCAAGCTAAATTGTTATTGTTTTTGCTAGTGTCTGTTATTTTTTTAAACACTACTTAGCATACAAATAAAGAGGTTTGCTAAGTTTATTATCAAGACAGCTGTTTTAGAGGACAGAGTCCCTGGGTGGCACAAGCAGTAGTGCTTCACTATTATCTGAAAGGCTGGTGGTTTTAGAGGACACTAAAACTTATAGAAAGAGCTGAGACAGGAGTGATTACAGCCGGTACCCTTGGGGCTCTCACTAAGGAAAATGGGGAAATTAGGTTGCGCATGCTTGATCTTAACTTCTATTTCTTTATAATTTAGGCTTCCTTTTGTCCTCAACTCAAATTAGTGCAATTTTCACTGTATGTTCTACATTTTATCCAGAAGTTTAGTAAAATATTAGCATTTCCCTTGAGAATTAATTCAAGAAAAATTCAATTCACTAAGTATGCATATGTCAAACTTATTACAATGAACTATAAGAGAATGTCCAAAATCCTTGTTTGCATAAGAATTTGTTTACTTTAATTAAACAGGCAATGTTCATTTGATCCAGCAAAAGTTAACAACTTACATCAAGAGTGGTGATTTCTTCTAAGCTGTGAAGTTCTTGAACAGGGTCACTTTTTTGTTGCCTGATGTAATCTGCAAGTGCTTTCACTGATCGCTGACCCCTGTATTCTCTCTTCATCATCATTCCATTACGAAACAATTTGAGGGTTGGGTATTTGCTTATCCTGTATCTCTGGGCTATATCAGCTAAAATAATGAAAAAAAAATTAACTTTACCCTTATACTCGGTCAGGGTGAATACTCAAAAATCTTGCAATTAATCATTGAAAACTTTTTGGTTCCTGTTATTCTTTTTCACTGACAGAGAAACAATTAATTGTGACTTGAGTTTACAATGGTTAAGAAGACAGGCTTGGACACAGAATGCTTGAGTTGAAATCCCAATTTGCTATTTACTGGCTGTGTGAACTGGGATAAATTGTTTAAACTCTCTTTCCTCTAGTTTCTCTTCTGTTATATACAGATAATAATTTCTATCACATAGGGTTGTTTAAGGAATAAATGGGATAATGCAAATGCATGGCACAGTAAGTTCTTAAATAAATGTTTGTAATTATTATTATAGATACATTACAGACAAGAATTAGGATGCTCAAAATTCCAATTTTAAAACAGAGTCATTAAAGTCACTTTATAAATACTAGGAGGACATCTTGGAGCATTTGATAAAAGATAATTAAAATAACTCTCAAATACTAAAAACTAAGACTAGATTCTTTGCTAGTGGAAGAATTTATAACCCCAAAAAGTAAATTTCGTTTAAGATGTGTGATAAAAACCCAAACTCAGCAGTATACACTAAAACATATCCTTTATTATGACTTATGGGTATATTTTCTTGCAGCGGAGATATAAAAAAAAAAAACCAACATTCATCTTTAAAATTAGTGTTTACAGTCTCAAAAATAACAACCAACATCAAATGTACGCTGATCTAATTTTTAAGAATCACAATCACTAAAATAGACTCAATCTGAATGGAAAAGCCTTTACATTTTTCTCGTGTTATTTCTAAGAGGTGGGAAATAGAAATCAATATCTTCCAGACACTGGAAAAGCTCAAATGAAATGCTAGTCAGATGTATGAGATTGATACAAGATGCACTGAATTTTTAGAATGAAGAGGACCTCGGGTAGCACTGAAATGTCTTAAAACAGGTTAAAAAATACGTATTTTTTTAATTTATTACCATAGTTCTAAAATGGGAGGAGAATTCCAAAATGGTAGCACCAAAGACCGTATACCTTGTTTTATAGTTTTGACTAATGAATCATGGAAATTTTTAGAATTAAAAACAAAATTGGGCTAAAAAGAAAAAGCTAAAATGGTAAATGTTTTGTTATATATGTATTTACCACAATAAAAAATAAATTAAAAAATCAAAATATATGAACCTATCTATAAAACTGGTGGTATAAAACACACGAAGAGAGATTTCAATTAACTTTAAAACTCTGAAACACGGTATTCTGACTGAATATCCTGAGTAAGAGTAAATTCTAAGGATAAAAAGAACCACAAAAATATCATGAACTGCATTTAGTCAGGTTATTGTTGTTTTTAAAAAAAACTGGGATTGCTATTTTGAAATTACACACACACGAACATATTATAGATACAGCACATGAGTAATTATGCTAATACAATTAACAATCAAGACTTTCAGCATAAGAAAAAAGATACAAACATAAAATTAAGAAAATGATGTAAAAACGCTGTAATATTTCATTTGAATCGTTTCAGCATGAACCCATGATGTGTTTTTCTCTTTTAAAAATACATATTCTAAGCTCTGTCCACTGATAGCTTCACTGGTAAATGCTACTGAATATATAAGAAAGAAATAATACCATTTCTACACAAACTTCTCCAGAAAATTGAAGAGATGTCATTCTATGAGGCCAGTATTATGCTGACACCAAAACTGGCAAAGACATTACAAGAAAATTACAGATCAAGATAACTCATAAACAAAACTAGACTACTTAAGGCTACCAGACTTCAATGCTTTCTATAACTTACAGTAACCTAGGCAGTATAGAACTGGCATAAAGACAGCCAAATAGAACAACGAAACAGAACAGAGAGTCCATAATTAGACCCGCACATAAAAGCAGAAGTGGTTTTTGACAAGGTGAAAAAGTAAAATCTAACTACATGCTACTTACAAAAGATACACCTAAAACATAATGATGCAGAAAGCTTGAAAGTAAAAGGATGGGAAAAAAATATACTATGCAAAAACTCATCGAAAGTAATCTTGCATAGTTATTATGATGGGAGAACATTAATACACCTCTTTCAGTAACTGATATAACAAACAAAATCAGCAAGAATATAGAGAATATGAACAACATGACTAACAGACTTGATCTAATCAACATATACATGATAACCCATTGTTGTCAAGTCAACTCTGACTCATAGTGACCCTACAGGACAAAGTAGAACCATAGGGTTTCCATTTTCAAATGTTATCTTTATGGAAGCAGACTGCCATGTCTTTCCCCCTTGGAGCAGCTAGTGGGTTTGAACTGCTGCCTTTTTGCTTAGCAGCTGAGTGCTTAACCACTGTGCCACCAGAACTCCTCACATATAACCAAAGACACCAAACCCATTGCTGTCGAGTTGATTCCAACACATAACAACTCTATAGGACAGAGTAGAACTATCTGGTAGGGTTTCCAAGGAGTGGCTGGTGGGTTTGAACTGCCAGTCTTTTGGTTAGCAGCAGAGCTCTTAACTGCTGTGCCATCAGGGCTCTTCTCTACATATAACCAAAACCCAAACCCAACCTGTTGCCACTGAGTCGATTCTGACTCATAGCCAACCCTACAGGACAGAGGAGAACTGCCTCATAGGGTTTCCAAGCAGACTGCCACATCTTTCTCCCACAGAGCCAGGTGGTGGGTTCAAAGCGCCAACCTTAGCAGCTGAGGACTTAACCACTACAACACCAGGGCTTTCTTACATCTAGGATAAACCAAATCCAAGCTCACTGATGTCGAGTTGATTCCAAGTGACCCTAGACCCTAAAACCCAGCGAACACATTCTCTGCAGGCATATATATGGCATAAAAAAAAATGATGAACCACAAAAAAGCCTCAACAATTTTCAAATGATCCAAATCATAACAAGAATGAATAAACTTCTATAATACCCATGGATCAAAGAAGAGAATGACAAAAGGAAATTAGAAAATACTTTGAACTGAATGATAATTAAAATACATATGAGAACTTATAGCATGCAGCCAAAGCTATACTTAGAATGAAATTTATAACCTTAAAACGGATATGTTGGAGGGGAGGAAGAAGGCTGAAAATCAAGGAACTAAGCATTCATCTTAAGAAATGATAAAAAGAACAAATTAAACATAAAGAAGAAAGAAGTGAATGAGAGAGATAAAAACTGAAATTAATGAAACAGAAAATAAATACACAATAGAGAAGATCAATAATGCCAAGATCTGGTTCTTTACAAAGGCTAATGAAATTGATAAACCCCTGGACAGACTAATCAAGAAAAAAAAAAAAGAAAGAGAGAGAGAAAAAATACAAATAAGTAATTTCAGGAATATAACAAGACTTTAACTCAGATGACAAGAGAATATGATCGGTAACTTAATGCCAGGAAGTTTGGAGATTGAGATAAAATGGACAAATTCCTATCAAAACACAATTTACCAAAAGTGACACTCAAAAAAAAAAAGAAAATAGAAATGGTCCTAAAATTATTAAGAAACAGAATCCATAACCCAAAGCCTTCCCACAAAAAACATCCCATGCCTAGACAGCTTCACCAACAAACTCTACCAAACATTTTAGGAACCAGTAATACCAAATTTATGTGAACTATTTCTGAGAATATAAAAAGATAGATCATTTCCTGACTACTTATATAAGGCTAACATAATCTTGTTACCGAATCAGACAAGGAAATTAAAAGTATAAATAATCTCATTTAAGAATATAGATGCAAAGCTTGAAAATATTAACAAACTGAATTTAGCATTATATACAAAGGATAATACATCACAGTTAAGCTTGGTTTAGTCCAGAATTGCAGATTAGATTAATATTTGAAAGCCATCTGAAGATTAATAGATTAATACCTGAAAAATAATGTCAAAGTAACTCATGACATTAACAAAGTAAAAGAAAAATCCTACCTCTTAAAAGAAGCAGAAAAAAATTTTTTTTTTTTTTGGCTTCACACAACATAAATTTATTATCTGACAGTGCTGGAGGTCAGGAGTCCCCAGTGGGTGTCACTGGGAAGAAGTAGAAAAATTTTTGATATAATTCAACCATTCACAGTTTACAACTCTTAGCAAACAAAGAATAGAAGGGAACTTCCTTAATCTGATAAAGGATATCTAAATAAACAAATACCAAACAACTTGATGGTGAAACACTAAAAGCTTTTTGCTGAGATCAAGAAAGAAATAAAGATGCCTGCTATCACCACTTCTACTCAAGGCTGTACTGGAGTCTGGTCAGTTTAATAAGACAGTATGATATTCCCATTATCCACTGCCATCAAGTTGATTCTGACTTATCAGTCAGTGTAATAAGACAAGAAAAAGAAATAAAGAATATATACATATATATACTAGAAAGAAATAAGAACACATCACTATTTGCTGACAATCTTATTATGCTCACAGAAAACCCAAAAGGGTATCCACAAAAGACTTCCCCTTCCAAGTAAGATGTAGTACATAGCAGAAATCTATTGCTCCCGCTGCAACAACTAGGAAACACCAATTAAAAAACAAAACAGAACACATTTTGAAAGATATCAGAGACCATGAAAGCAATGAAGACTAAATGAGCTTAAATTCCAGAAAAGGAAGGTCCCTTCCTAGCTGAACAAAGATCACTGGCCATTTTCTTTCCTATGGATTTCCTACATAATTCCTTTCAGAAATTAAATCTGCAATTTCTGTAGACTTAGGCCTGTGGATTATGTCTTGCATAGGCAGAAAAAAAGAAATCAGTGAAGCTTTTCATAGCCACCAGGGCTAGTACTGTGGACTGAAACCTGGAGGGCCCCCAAACACAAAGCATAAATTTACTGAGTGCCCACAGGATATTTACTGAGTGCTGGGGTGGCATAGGAAGCTAGGGGAGAGGGGAGAGCTAGGCCAGAAAGACAGAGTAAAATATCCTATGGCCTTTT